TGAGATTAAAGGCATTTACCACCACACCTAGCTTCTTTCAAAATGATTATAAAGTCCTGATTCATGGGCATATTTCGCCCATGCACATTAATTCTGAAGAACTCTGTTGAATAGCAAGCACAAGAGAAATTGAAGGATTTCCTTGCCAGGAGAATATAATAAAAGCCAACTGATGGGGATTATATTGAGATGACCAAATTTTTTTTTGTATTTTTTGAAAACAAGTATCTATTTTGAATATTTACTGAGGAAGCAGGAGGGTTTTTGCTTACCTAAACTTGGCTGATTATTTTTTAATCTAGACAATATAATATAATATAATATAATAATCACAATATAAGAAACTCTTACCTGTAGGTTAAGAAGTTAGTTGCTAGGTTGGTAGCACATCATTGTCTGGAACTCAAGACACTGATTCAGAGGGGCCAGCCTCATTACAGTATAATTTTGGTTCAAAAACAAAGAAAATAGAGAGCTAGGGAAAGAGAAAATCAAGTAACAACCACATGACAGGACATAAAAATATTGAATACAGTGTTACAGATATAAGCTGCTAAGTTTAAATTTTAAATCAATTTGCAATGTTACTCTTCAACTCTATAAAAGAAGAAATTAGAGTTTTCTACTTTTTCTTCATTTGTTTTGTATGTTGGCTTGGTGTTTTTGCTTAACAAAATTAGTAGTTTTAGTAGACCCCTCAAAATAAAAGAACATAATGAAATACTATTGGCATTATTTTCTACTTAAATTGTTTGAACATAATAAATTTAGAAAGTTATAGATTCTTGCTTTAATATATAATTATTTTCATCTCATTAAATTTTTTTTGAGAATTTCATGTAGAAGTTTTATCAATTTTGATCAAATCCATCCTTCCCTGTAGCCACTTCTTCACATGTTCCTCCTACATCCTCTTCACAAATTATTTTCCTTTTCTATGATGATGATGTAACCTATTAAGTCCAGTTAGTGCTGCCCATATCCTTGTGGCCTTTTCCTGTTGCTTGTGTTTTGTTATGGGATCTGGTCATCTGGAGTTAGTTTGTTGCCTGTGTATTTAGTAAAGAATTTCTAGTCTACCTGTGTCAAGTGGGAATCTGTTTCTGATTTTTCTGTTAATTGATTTCATCTTAGGTAGGAGGAGCTTCCAGCTCTGTTAATTAAATACTTTTGATTTTTGACTGGTGAGACTCTGTGATTCCAATATAGGTTTTTCAATGGATTGATTATATTCCACTTGTGTGTTTGGCTCAGTGAAGTCACTGGACAGGTTCACGTGTGGTTGAGGTGTCTAAACCCTAATAGAAGTATGGGCCAGGACTCGGGTCGAGGTTCTAGAGTTGAGGGGAGTGGAGAAAGGGGCCTTATCAGCAGTGTGTCATATGTGGGGCAAGAACTGAAGAAAATATCTCATTGTAGGGAGCTGAGAAGTCACACCAAGAAAGCCTGCTTATGTTCGTCCTTCTGGGGCTAAGTCAAGGGAAGAGAAGTGGTGGGTGGGATAAAAGACACAATAGTCTCACCAAGAAATCCCATGGCTATAGCCTAATGCATCAGTTTTTTAAATGTATTTATTTGTGCAGGCACTTGGTGATCTAAATGTTAAATCTAAAATTTTTGAGGTTGAGATGGCTTCTTGCCATCTACTTAAGAAACTGAACAATAATGTAATTAACTTGCTGAAACATCCATTCAGATTGCTCAAATTAGGTTCTTTGTAATGATGAGTTTTTCCTTTTTTATCTCCCCTTGCATATAACTTGCTTTTGTTTCTAGTGGCTTGTATTGGAGATTTATTATAATTGAGTTGTCTTGAATAAAAGAAGTACCTATGTTCATGCTGTCTCCAAGAAGGGCTAGCTTGGTTAACAACTCAGTCTTTTGGGGGGGGGTGCTTTTCGAGACAGGGTTTCTCT